ACATACATACACATATATATATATACACATATATATACACATATATATATATACACATATATATACACATATATATACACACACACATACACACACACATACACACACACATATACACACACACACACACACACACACACACACACACACACACACACACACACATATATACATACATATACATACATATATACATACATACAAGTGGAAAGGTTTCACTGGTATTATCATCTCTAGCGATGTCAGACATTGACTTCTGCAGGGATGACATCATTGGTTCCCTCCACTAACAGTAAATGGGATTCTTCCATTGGACTTTGGATGATTGCCGAAAATAAGCTCTGTGGCAAACAAATATTTACACGTTTTGATCATCAAGATGATCTTCACAAATGAACACCACTTTTATGATGTTTGAAGTGTAAAGTAAAAATCTAACATTAGGCTGTAAAGGAACTCCACCACAGTCACATGACTTCAGGTGTAGAGTTCTAGTGAGGACGTTTAGTTGTTACACTCTTTAAGACACGTAAAAGCTTAAACTCCCCAGAGGGGTGTTTACTGACCTATTTCATATCGTAGAAGGAAACAGAATCTCTTCAGCTTGTGTTAAACACAGACATTATCTCAGACTTCTAACCAGAAATCACATTCAGAAACATTGAATGGGACCGTTTCCTGCAGAACTTCTTTTATGTTACATACATATGTTTAAAAATATGGTAGAAATGTGGATATTGTCACTTTGCAGTTTTCTATCCAGTCTACTGCTGCTACTAGTACTTTTGCACACTGAATTTATTTCCTCTTATTTCTTATTTTTCTGTACATCCTAAGTCATGGATTGTGACTTATATTCTAAACCTAAAACCTGCCGAGTGTAACATTAAGTCCTCCCTATCCCACTGCTGTGTCATGTTGAACACTGTCTTTTATATTGTCACACATCCATGTTGTGGGTATGGATATTTGTCTGTTTAAGGCACTGGCACAGAATTATGTACGGACCAAATGGAAGGTTGTTATAATAATTAGAATAATAACGTAGAGGACAGGAACAAACAGGCAGACCACAACAGCAGCACACATGTAACAGTGAGAAACAAGCAAAGGGAAAAGAAGGAAGAACTCACAGGAAATCTGGCAGGAGGAAGAGGAGAGAAGGGAAGAAGAGGAGGAGGAGCAGGAGGAGCAGTCAATCAGGTTGTCAGGTTTTCAGCGGGCAGGTGGGTTTTTTCAGGGTTAACAGCAAACCAATCGTCCTGACAAAAGGTGAAATTCATACTCACTTTGGCGCTTGTGTTCCTCCTCCTCCTCCTCCTCCTCCTCCTCCTCCTACCCCCGCCGCATTCGCTCCGGCTGATGCAGAAGCCTTTCGGACCAGTCGGTACTGCATTTCGGCAGCGGCGGCACTCGAGTAAGAAAGCGACTTGCCCAGAGGTGGAGGGTGCGGGGAACGGGGAGGGTGGGTCGTAGAGGTGGAGGAGGATCCCAGAGGGGTGTCAGTGGAGCGGGTGCGATAGGGATAAGCGCGGTGGGGAGGTGCTTGAGGGGCAGCGAAGCGGGGGGGGCGGGAGGTGGAGGAAGAGGAGGAGGAATGGTGGTGGTGGTGATGATGGCCGTGGTGGTGGTGGTGATGGTGGTAGTGATGATGACGTGGGGGAAGCGGGGCAGAAGAGGATGGGGGAGCCGGGGCATGATTGTCAGGTGGGGGGTGAGAGCCGGGGTGGAGCTCCAGCAGGCGCTCCCTCTCTGGGGGAGGGGGAGGGGAAGAGGACATGGAGGAAGAGGAGCGATGGAGGAAGGAGTGGTGGTGGTGGGAGGAGTGGTGGTAGTGATGGGGCGACTGGGCGGAGTGGGAGTGTATCTCAGCATCTCTCTGTTCTGACGACAGGAAGGAGGAGTTATAGCCGCCTGCTGCTGGAGTGCAGGGTCTCCCAGAAGAAACCTCAGGGGCTGTTGAACCCACCACCACCTTGTTCTCGAACTCATCACCACCTGCCAGTAAGCTGTCATATGACAGGCTCCCGTTGCGGGACGGGTGGTGAGGCGGAGGTGTCTGATTGGCTAAGCTCTTGAAGCTGGCCGAGGTGGTGGTTGCCTCGGAGACGTGGACGCCGCCTGCTGAGGTGTGCGTGGAGCTGGAAGATCGTGAGGCCACTCCAGATAGGACTGTGGGGTCGGAGAAGGAGGGGTACGAGCGTCCGCCCAGGGAGTAGCCAGGGATGCCCCCTGCTCCCACCTCTCTTCTGACCTCCCTCCTCTCCCCACCTCCTCCGACTCCCACTCTGTCAGATGAAGCGTCCCTCTGGTCCAGGCTGGGCTGGGAGCGGAAACCAGGCTGCTGGCTGGCCTGAAGGAGGGAGGAGGTGGAGGAGGAAGAGTCCCTGGCACTGCCAACACTCTCGCCTCGACTTAACTGGAGGAGGCATGAGGAGGAGAAAGAGGAGGGGAGGTGTAGGAGAGAGGGGCAGCAGGAGGGAAAAGAAACAAGAAGAAGCTGAGCAAATCAGAGTAGAGACCAGGAATTCCTGCTGAACTGACACTCCCTGTCCCTGTACCTTCATCTGAGCAGGCAGGACACTACTTTCCATCCATGCGCCCCAAAACCCAACCGGCACATTGTCTGGTTGTGCCAGTTGGGCGGGGTTTCCACCCCATTAACTTAATACAGGTAAACACATATTTCTCACGGCGTGTAGTGGCTGAATTCAAATAGAAAAGCTTTTGTTCTGTACTTAAATGAAAGGTTAGCACTGAATCTCTACCACCTGCTGCAGCTGCTGGAGATTCAACATCATACCTGCAGCCGTACACGCCTGCACTCCATTTACTGTAGCTATGACGCCGACATGGAAGCGCAGCTGTTAAGTGATCTCTATTTGATGTCATCATAAAACAATGAATTAATTATACATTAATGAATAGATTCCCTTTTGTCAACCACTGAAGAAATTTCTTTTTTTTTTAAAAATCCTGCTCAACTTAATGTGTTTCTGCTGACTGAGTGGGAACGGAACATGGTTACAGTACGGTCATGTTGCAGTTTACATCCATGTCTGTCCAAAATGTCATCACTTCATCATATCCTTCACATCGTTAGAAATGTGTGTCAAGTTGTCATAATTACCTTATGGATTCTTGAGTTATGGCTAAAAATGTGTTTTATGAGGTCACAGTGACCTTTGACCACCAACATCTTTTCCTCATTGAAGAAATTGCCTCTAGTTGTTCCTGAGATATGAGAATGGACCGGATGTATGGAAGTACATACAAACGGAGAATTGGAAAAATATAAAGCATCCTGCTAAACGTGGAGGCATCTAACTTGTCCTAGCAGCTGTATATGTGGCTGAGATCTTTTCTCATACTGACTGAGTGAGTGAAGGGCGAGGAACACCTGTAAAGAGAAGGAAATATTCCTCACTGAAGCTTTGAAGAACCAAAAATGGTATTTGGTTCAGTCCTTATGCATTGTCAATCATAGGAGTACTAAACATCTGTACAAAATATACATTATAGAGAGAGAGCATTTCTCTGGCATGACGACATCATCATCATCAGTTTCGACACAATATCCCTCATGAATTTAAAAAGAAACTATTGTCCTAACTTGAATTTAACAGAAATATTGAAAATAATTCATTTTGTTGGTACTCTTATAGGCAGTGATGACCTGAAAAGATTCGTGACTGAGATTTAAACTTCCTCCTTTTATATTGTGGGCTTTTCCCAGGACAGGAGAAGGATTCTTCATTCATCAGGACATGTTTTCTCCATGAGACCAACTGAGGTGAAAAGAGCATGAAACATCAGGGTGACACATCAAACTACTTGTGGACATGACTGAAACATTAAAAGGTCCATTTGAGCTTTTAATACTGGATCTGAACTACAGGGGAGCAATTTATTCACACAAACTCTGGAGGGAATCTACAGGAGACACATTTCTAATCAGGGAGGAATCAAAACAATATTGTGCTGGATAGACAAGTGGAAGGATATGGGCCAGACATGGGTACAAACACTGAGTAGAACCAACTTATCTGTATGAATCCAGATGTATTCAGGTACAATCCTTGGATTTTAACACAAAAATGACTTTTAATCAGCCTTATACTCCAGAGACGGATGAATTTAGTCACTAACCATTTCAAATGTGTTCAAACACTATGTCACCCATGTCCGGAGCAAACAGAAAGGGGCAGGAAATAAAGAGAAGATAGAAGAAGGACAAATGCTCTCAGAACAATCACTTACTGATACTGATCAACAGAAAGCCACTGAGAAACCAAACCCAGAAACCGACAGGAAATCAAAAGGAAAAACACAAACAAAAATGAGATGCATTAGAAAGAAATCGATGAGCGATAAAAGAAGCAGAGGCAGGGACAAATGGAAAAACAACTCTGATCAGAAACATGTACACACACACCATACACCTTCAAAATAAGAGTGTACAGCAGATTTTTGTCTTGTGTTAGTCTTAGGTTTATGGATTCAGAGTCAATATATCCAGCAAGGGAAACCTCCACAGTACGGACATATTGAAACTCCGTAGTCTGAACCAGACTGACAACTTTATTACTCCTTTTAACCCTGACAAAAGCAGCACAGACCAGACACACTACGGTTCTTACCTTTCACAATAAAAGCCCTGGACTTCTAAACTACGCAACTGTTTACCAGTGATAAATTAAGTCAGAGCATTATGCTAAAAGGAAACTCAATAAAATAGCTTAGAGTAGTTTAGGCTATACAACCTTGTATGCTTTTACTGTATGTTGTACAACATACAGTCTATTTAGCATGAATTAATCAACGTACAGCCGTGTACAGTGTATCTATCATTTGATCACACTCAGTGTCAATGCTCTAATTTGACTATGTTGATTAATATGTACACACAACATCTATTGCACATCTGTATGTCAATTAGAGGGATCCCTCCTCTGTTGCCGTTACTGACGTTTCTTCCTTTTTTCTGTGTTAAAAGTTTCTTTAGGCTCGTTTTCCCTTCCTAGAGCGAGGGTCCGAGGACAGAGAATGTCGTACGCTGTACAGATTGTAAAGCCCCTTTAGGCAAATGACTTGACTATCCTTGTTCATCGGCAGTCTCACCTGTGTGTTTATGTGTGCATTACCTGGTTGGCGTAAGCGTGTGTGAGCGCTGTGTGGTTCTTGCCGGGGCTGTAGCTGGGCCTGTATTTGTACATGGTTGGGGTGGGAGGGGCTTTGTTCAGTAGGCTGCACTCTGCATGAGGGTAAGGAGACAAAGAATAAGAAATATCACTGTGAAGTCAACGTAGAATCAAATCAGAGCAGAGTTTTACAACAGGAAGTTGAGATTAGAGCTGAAGCAGGGAGTTAGAAAGCATTACCCTCCGTGTTTCCTCTGGTGATTCCAGGGTAGCGGAGCTCTGGTTTAGGAGGAGGAGGCGGCTCAGCGTCACATGACTGGCTCTCCATCATCTCCAGACTGGACTTAGACTGGATAGAAGTCAGATAGAAACTCAAACAATCATAATCAGTCGACTGAAATATGGTTGACTAACTTTCTATATCATTTATGTATGCACAGACCAGTGACAGAAAACCCTGAATGAATGAGTGGAGAAATATAATGAACACAGACACTTTCACACATGAAATTGATGTAAATCATATGTTATGGCCTTCAGCGTAGAGCTGCATGATGTCATGTTTCATGACATTTTTTATATTGCAATATGAAAAACTACAGGAATATTCAACAATCATTTTGAAGGCTACATTTCAAAGTTAAAAGCAAAGATGAGAGCAAAATGAAGAGGCTGGATAAGCTGGGCTGATAGATGTGGTTGTCTATTTCAAACAGCTCTTAAACCTCTTGCTGCCACCTGGACCAGCCTATAAACAAACTTACATACCATGTGTTCACCAACAGGCATACAATTATTTTTGTGAAAATCAAAACAGAACGGTGAAACTGCAGTATTTATGGCAAAATGAGCACCCATCCAGCTGTTCTTACCCGGTGCAGGTCTCCCTGTATGCCGTTGTCCAGGATCTTTGCAGCCAGCTGGGCCTCTGTCAGCTGTGGCCGCAGGAAGGGAGGCTGCACACACACACTCTGCACACACTTCTTTCTGCCCAGATATCTGCAGAGAGCACAGAGACAGTGAGTATCCACATCATAAAGACAAACAACTACACAAGTACAGTGTTGTCACAAGTTATAAGCCCCTTTTTGACTCATTGTGTTTCCCCGCATGGACCAGGGTCTAACTTAAGTTCCGGGGAGATTTCACCCTCCAAACAGGCCCTAGTCTGGAGTTAGTACTTTCTGAAAGTATAGGAACTTTCAGGGTGGGGTTTGCAGGGATGACCGTCATTGATTGGTAACACACACACACACACACACACACACAGCACCGCTCTAACCTAACCCGTCATTCATAACAACTAGGAAGCACTCCAGTATCGATTTAGGAGCATTTTAGGACGAGGGGAGAGAACTTCTCTTTGCTTGGTAACATCAGAAGTAAAGTTAGGCTTTACTGTCACTTTCCCACTCATTTTAAAAAAGAAACCGAAAGGGAGAGAGAGATTGTGCGAGCGAGCTGAGAGAGAGAGAGAGAGATTGTGCGAGAGAGAGAGAGAGAGAGATTGTGCGAGAGAGAGAGAGAGAGAGATTGTGCGAGAGAGAGAGAGAGAGAGAGAGAGAGAGAGAGAGAGAGAGAGAGAGAGAGAGAGAGAGAGAGAGAGAGAGAGAGAGAGAGACACACGCTGAGACAAAACAAAGTTAGATTTTCTTTTTCGACATGTATGACGGACAGACACATTGTGAGTTTACCACTGCGACCACCAGCAGCCCTGCTAAGTCTCCAGGCTGGTCATTAGGCCAAAATGACCAGAATCTTCTTGGTGGAAACTATTCTTCCGTTTTGAATGCAGTGATACACTGCACTGAAATGTGCTATTTATCATCAGTGCAGTTTTTTTGCAGTTAAAAAGAGAAAAGTAAAAGCAATGCACCTGGGTGCCTGTGAGCTGCAGAGGACATGAGAGATGTTGTTCCAACAGCCATTGGTGAAGGGGTTAACACCTCCTCTGAACTTCCCCGTTACCTGGAGAAAGAAAAACAGAGACACCAACAGGGGAGAGTCAAAAGAGGGAGGACGGTTATAGTATTAAAGGTTGTTACCATGATTGAAGGATTGGACTCTTAATCTAAATGGAGCTTCCAGCAGAAAGGTTCTACAGGTACCGAGTCATTTAGAAATTAATGTTTTTCTAGATTAACGCCAAACTTTGATCGCTGCTATTATTCATCATTATTCTATAGTTTCTAGATATAATAGTTTTAAATGGTGTTTTGATTGCTCTTGGTTCAAGAGGCCGCTGTCTGGGGCTTGCTGTGCAATTACCTAGAGTACAGGTATGTGCCCAGTCGGATTATAATCTGTGTTAAACTGTGTGTACAATGTGAAATAGTGCCTTATGATAAATTGTAAAATTGTGCATTTTTTCTGGTTTGGCATCTCTCCAAAGTAACTGTTGCGCTGCCATTTCATTTCCCCCTAAAAGCGCCTCTTTGTACGATGTCCTACTGTACATATTTTAATATCAACTACAGGATTTCTGGGACTCAACTGTTTTACTGGTCCTACCTGTTCATTGGTAGTCCTGCCTCTGGCCACAAGCACTATGTGGAAACCAGTGAGGCCAGCAACAGGGATGAAGAACAGGCCTGCCACACACATTACAGCCAGCCTGAGAGCACAGGGGGGTCAAGGAGTATCTCAAGAGACCAGAATAAACAGATCAGGGCAGACGAACACAGGATCAGTTCATGGATCTCATTTGATTTGGATATTTGTGTAGAGTACATGGACAGCTTGTCCTGGTGCTGGTGTTAGGACACGCATGCTAGCTTGACAGAATGGAATGTAATTTAGTTTCCTAAATTAGGCTCAATTTTGACAAGGGAAAAACTGGCATGGTCATATTTACAGGAGTCCCTTGACCTCCAACCTCAAGATATGTGAATGAAAATGGTTTCTATGGATACCCACAAGTCTCCCCTTTTTTTGCATGCAGTATAAATGTGTTATATTTGTCTTTTCTAAAAATGTATGCATACTGGGGTCCCTTAAGCGTCTTGGGTTAGACTGGAAAGCTGAGAGTCTTGTGGATGTATAAATGGCTGATGATGTTAGTCATGTTAGTCAGAGCCATTTCACATAGTAAGACCATTTTTTTTTTTTTAAACTTGACATCAATGTATAAAATGAGTGTTGTGACCTCTAGCAATCTTCCCACACCACACTGAAATAAATTCTCAGGACATCCGATACGACAAAACAACTTGCTGAAGCCAAGGAGGAAGCCAACACTGTGACTGAACAGAATCAGCAATCTTAAAATGGACAGGACGAAAATACAAGGGAAAGATCCTTAAAGGATACGTGACGATGGCGTGCAGGCGGTCGACATTCTGCCGATGGTAGAGGATAAAGAGCAGGCCAAAACCAAACACGGCCATGATGTGAGCTGTCAGAGACAGGAGGAAGAGGAAGAAGTAGCGGTAGTTCCTCCTGCCGATGCAGTTGTTTACCCAAGGACAGTGATGGTCGAAGTCCTGTATTATGAGGGTTAAAAGACACCGATGAGACAAAAAAGAAATGGAATTTGTCCGCACTCTTCAACATGAATACAGCCGTCACGAAGTGTTGCATCATTCCTTAATTCCCCATACAGTAGCTGCAATTTACATGGAAATTTCACACCATGTGACGTGTCATGATAACAAAGACAACTGCTGGGTAATTAGTTTTGATGTTTTACTTTTGCCCCAATGATGTAAACATTAAGTTTAAATGTATCACACTACATGAGCTACAGTCTGCAGCCAGGTTTCCACAGGTCAATGTCCAGTACCACTCTAATGAGAGAGGTGCAGGGCCAAACCACAAGTTAGCATGACATATATTATACCGTAGAACAAAACCTGATAGGATCGGGTTATAGGACTCATTCCTGTAGCACTCATTTAAGGATCTCCTCATGACTAATCTCTCTGAAGTTTAAACTTCAGCTGGCGTACAGTAACAAAACACACACAAAACAGTCAAAATTAAGAGAAATTAAATCTCTTAAGTTAAACATCGTCGGAAAAAAAAAAAAAATAGAGTTTATTAAGAGACATTTGAAATCGTTAATCACATTTTTCAATAACCAAATCATATTTTAAATGCCACCAAAATCAAAATGTGCCCAGTTTCCGCTCCGGTCTCCTGGTTATGAATGTGCCTCACAAACTATGTGTGCGGTGTTATATTTGATGAAATGCTCAGGTTTTGCATGGCTTGTACCATAAGTATCTTAGCATACAAGTTTGAGTCGTTGAGCTGGCTGGCGTTAGCCCGCTTCTTTAGCTTTAGTGTGTAGCATACATGCTAGCCGACTAGCTAGCTAATAAGCTAGTTGGGCTTTTGGCAGCTGGCCATCCAGTCCATCAGGAGAGAAGCAGACTGACCGCTGAACACAGCTTGCTGTCTCAGAAAGAAGAAGTGGTTGCAGGTGGAGGCCATGAGAACACGACATGGTGGAAGCCAGTCAGGAGCGGCTGATGAGTGTAATGAAACGGAATTTAAATGTGTACATAAATAAAACAATAATACGCTAAACTGACTAGTATTTCTGGTGCCAACTAGCGAGGGTAGCAACATTTAATGGACTAGTTGACTTATCACGAACATCTCTAGTGTCTTTATTCGTTCACGTTATGGAACATGGCCAATGTTCCATGTTGTCCAGAGACAAAGACACACATTCACACCTTAAGGTAATAGCCGACAGCAGAACCAGCTCTTCAGTCATGCGAGTTCAACTTTTGCTAGGTCAGAATTGATATGGCTACTGTCTGGTGATGCAGAGTGGGCTTTTTCCAAGTCAAACTGCACTTACATCTGCATTATCCTGCAACCATTCAACTCATTTGATAACAATAAGAGCAGACAAGTGGAATGAAGGAAAGACACAAGCGTCTTGTTTTTATGTATTCATGGTGCCAAGATCAAAATAGGTCACCTTCAATAAAAAAGCTCTAGAGATATCCCGAGCCCATCCGAAGGTTGTTTAGTGGACTGGTATCAGCTATATATGGCCAGATCCATTCCGACCATTAACTAACTTTGACCCAATGCACTTTGGACGACCTTGCTGTCACAGGAATGTATTACTTCAAGTGAATCGGCAGAAAACAAAGTCTCTTTGTGTCTATCGCAGAAACGTTTTGCTATTGCTGCTGGTTGCATTTGAGTCTCAGGTTTTTGTTGATTCAAAGCTTGTAGAGAGGCTGTCCAACATCTGTCCAAACCGTCTTTCCACAGCAGATCAACACTGATACTCTTCTCTCCACTAGAAACCATTAAAGGACAGCTGTGTTTCATATCTAAACTGGATTGTTACCGATTTATAATGTCGGCCTACGTCGGGTTTAGTGTGCATGGTGCAGCTGTACCGGGTACTTTGAAACATCATTCAGAGACGTGTTCATGAACAATGTCCTCATTTATGATATGGAAAGCTGGATGGGTGAGTGTGAGCACACCTCGACACAGTTGTCGCAGACGGAGCAGTGCGAGCACCGGGGCGGCCTGTAGAAGCGGCAGGTTGAACACCACTTCATCCGGACCTGGATCCCTCTGATCTCCACAGTCTTGTAGAGGGGAGCCCGAAAATCATCCTCTTTGTCCTCGTCCTCCTCAGCTGCAGGGACAGGAACAGAAGACTCAGACATGATAACACACCAACACAAAAGCTTGAGATTTAACATATTGAACAGACTTAAACAGATGTCGTGCTCAATACTCCTACTTAATACGGCAAAAAATCCCTGATTAGTGAAAAATCTGATGATGCAGATCCTGCTTTAAATATTCTTCTCCCTATTTTCTCCTATCCTAGATCAACTACAGGTCAATAATCAGTCAGTTAGCCATTGCTGTGGGTCAGTTATATGACTGCTGTGTGAGATCTGAGCACATTTAAAATGTACTGCTTCAACTCCTCCCTTTACTGATCCACAAAAATCTGCCTGGTGGACACAAGCGGAGAACTTTTTCATCTTTTTGAGGCTATCACAGGATCATCTAGTGTGTGGAGAAACAGCAATGTGCCTATCCTTTATTTCCCTGTTAAAGGGTTTTTGGGGAGTTTCTCCGTATCCCAAGCGAGGGTCCAAGGACAGAGGATGTTGAATGCTGCAGCTTGTAAAGCCCTCTGAGCGAAATCTGTCATTTCTGATATTGAGCCATTTAAAAAAATGTAATTGAATGTAAACACTTTAAAAATCAAGCCAAAAGGCAAACCTGATATTATGCAACAACATCAACAACATATGAGCAACATCACACACTATAACTATATATATATACACATACATATATATATACATACATATATATA